CTGGGTGGGAATGCAGGTTGATGCCGGAGGCGAGGTATTTCCCCGGAGGGAGCGGGGCGGGCGGGGGGAGCCCCGTGGCCAAGGGGGCCAGGCGAGTGGCGGCCACGCGATGGTGGCCCTCCATGGCCAGCCCAGAGAGGAGTGGCGGGGGGACGTGGACCGAACGCGGGGGCCCCAGGTCTCGTCCATCCATCCTCCGCACGAAGGGCTCCTCGGTGCCTTCCTCCTCCTCCTCCTCCTCCTCCTCGTGGCACCCCCAGACTCAAAGCCCTCGGACCCCGGGGTGCCCCAGCCCAGGCGTGGGCTCCGCCATCCTCCTGCAGCTTCAGGGGGGACCACTCCTCAACCTTCAGGGGGTCCTCGTTGTTTTTTTCCTGGACAGGAGAGAAGAAGGCAATTCAGGCACGCAGGGAGCAAGGAGCCAAACCCACCCTGAGAGAGGGGTGACCCTAAAGGGGGGGGGGACCTATCGAAGAGTAGGTTGCCTTCTGACTTGTGGCTGAGAGAGTGTGACTTGCCCAAGGGCACCCGAAAACAGGATGGAGGGATTCGAACTCAGGTTTCTGGGGCTGTATTGCCCCTCCACACACACACACATTCTATATAGGTGACCTGAAGACAGACAGACACTCACTCTTTCTCACACACACCTATATATTCTATATAGGTGACTTGAGAACACACACACACCTTATATATATTGTATACATACCTCTATTTACCTCTAAGCTAAGATCCACCTCTACTCCAAAGAAAACTCCATGGATTGCAATGGGAATTTATATTCTATATATAGAATGTATTTGATATAGGTGACTTTAAGACACACACATATTTTTTATATTCTATATATAAAATATATTCTATATGGATGACCTGAAGACACACACACACATATTTCATCTATGTTCTATATAGATGACCTGCTGACACACACAGATATATGCTATATATTCTATGTATAGAATATATTCTATATAGGTGACTTGGAGACATGCACAGACAGGTGTTATATATTCTATATGGATGACTTAAAGACACACGCAGGTAGATTTTGTATATATTCTATATATAGAATATATTCTATGTAGGTGACTTCAAGGCACACACAGATATATTTTATACATTCTATGTAGATGGCTTGAAGACACACACAGGTATATAGACAGACAACAGATATATGATATATATTTTATGTATAGAATATATTCTATATAGGAGACTTGAAGACAAACACAGACAGGTGTTATATATTCTATATGGATGACTTAAAGACACACAGAGGTAGGTTTTGTATATCCTATATAGATGGCTTGAAGACACACACAGATATATAAGACAGACAACAGATATATGATATATATTTTATGTATAGAATATATTCTATATAGGAGACTTGAAGACATACCAGACAGATGTTATATATTCTATATGAATGACTTAAAGACACACAGAGGTAGATTTTGTATATTCTATATATAGAATATATTCTATGTAGGTGACTCAAAGACACACACAGATTGATGTTGAATATTCTATATGGATGTCTTGAAGACACACAGAGGTAGGTTTTATATATTCTATATATAGAATATATTCTAGACAGGTGACCTGAAGACACACACACATTTTATATATTCTATATGGATAGTTTGAACACACACACAGCTATATAGATGACTTGAAGACATACACAGATACCGGTAGATGTTATATATTCTATATGGATAGCTTGAAGACATATACAGATGTATGATATATATTCTATATACAGAATGTATTCTATATAGATGACTTGAAGACAAACATACACATTCTATATATTCTATATAGATGACTTGAAGACACAAACATGCATATTCTATATATATTATATAGATGACTTGAAGACACATACATATTTTATACATTCTATATAGGCGACTTGAAGAAACACACACACGTCCATTCTATATATTCTATATAGATGACTTGAAGACAGACAAACATGCATATTCTATATATTCTATATAGATGACTTGAAGACATATATGATATTTATTCTATATACAAAATATATTCTATATAGATGGCTTGAAAACACACACATATATATTCTATATAGATGACTTGAAGACAGACATATTATATATATTCTATATAGATGACTTAAAGACATACACACATGTATATTCTATATAGATGACTAGAAGACACACATATTTTATATATTCTATATAGGTGACTTAAAGACATACATGCATGTATATTCTATATAGATGACTTGAAGACACACATATTATATATATTCTATATAGGTGACTTAAAGACATACACACATGTATATTTTATATAGATGACTTGAAAACACACACATATATATTCTATATAGGTGACTTGAAGACATACACAGATATCGATAGATGTTATATATTCTGTATGGATGACTTGAAGACATATATGATATTTATTCTATATACAGAATATATTCTATATAGATGACTTGAAGACACACATACACATATATTTCATATATTCTATATAGGTGACTTGAAGACCTGCATACACACACACACACACGTATATCCTATATAGGCAATGCTATATAGGCAATCCACCCTACGACAAAATAGCAAAGGTGGATGAAATCTGAAACGGCCGGCTCTTTTTTGTCTCCAAAATACAGAATATTTGCAATTTTTCCTTCTATCTAGTCACACTCCCCATTTAAACCATAATAAGGGGAAAGGATTTCATCCATCCCTTCTGATCCTCTCCCTTTATTGATTTTTTTCCCCCCAGTATTTGTTTAATACCTTTTTGAAAAAGGACCGTAAATTCCAGATTTGGACTTTCCTACGATTTCCCCTTGTTGAAAAAAACATAAATATTCTCATATTTTCCCTTCTGATCTTATCAGAGGTGAGCAAACCTTCCAAGCCACCCTTATCTGCATTTTAGCCCTGAAATGTATTTAATGTTTAACCCGATTCTTTTTTCTTTTTTTTTGCTTAGTCTGGCACAGAAAATATTAATTTATTTTTGTGTTCAAAAGGAAGAAAATGAGAATCTCCTTCCACTTAAATCTCATTCCTACAGACCCATTTGCTGTCTCAAGTTTCAGAATCCAGTTTTGCAGAGCTTAAATTATTATTTTATTTTATTATTTACAGTTTTAAATCAGTATTATTTCCCTCTAACCCAAGCTCCACCTTTACTCCAAAGTAAACTAAGTGGATTGCAATGGGAATTTCCCAGGGAGGGGGAAAACAGTGGAAATAATAATAATAATAATAATAATAATAATAATAATGTTATTATTATTATTATTATTAGTTACTGCCAAGCCTAGATCCACCCCTACTCCAGAGTAAACGCTATGGATTGCAATGGGAATTTACTCCCAGAGGAGGGGAAAAATAGTGGCAACAGAGATAAATATATATTAATATTAATAATAATTTTAAATCATTATTATTTCCCTCTAAACCTAGATCCACCCCTACTCCAGAGTAAACTATAAGGATTGCAATGGCAATTTACTCCCAGGGAGGGGAAAAAAGTGGAAATAATAATAATAATAATAATATGTTATTATTATTTACTGCTAAGCCTAGATCCACCCCTACTCCAGAGTAAACGCTATGGATTGCAATGGGAATTTACTCCCAGAGGAGGGGAAAAATAGTGGCAACAAAAATAAATATATATTAATATTAATAATAATTTTAAATCATTATTATTTCCCTCTAAACCTAGATCCACCCCTACTCCAGAGTAAACTATAGGGATTGCAATGGCAATTTACTCCCAGGGAGGGGAAAAAAGTGGAAATAATAATAATAATAATAATAATAATAATAATATGTTATTATTATTTACTGCTAAGCCTAGATCCACCCCTACTGCAGAGTAAACTCTATAGATTGCAATGGGAATTTACTCCCAGAGGAGGGGGAAAATAGTGGCAACAATTATAAATATTTTTTATTATTAATAATAGTAATAATAATAATTTTAAATCATTAGTATTTCCCTCTAAACCTAGATCCACCTCTACTCCAAAGTAAAACCCTATGGAATGCAATGGGAATTTACTCCCAGGGAGGGGAAAAACAGTGGAAAGAATGAGATATTATTATTATTATTATTATTATTACATTATTTCCCTCTAAGCTTAGATCCACCTCTACTCCAAAGTAAAACCCTATGGATTGCAATGGGAATTTACTCCCAGGGAGGGAAAAAAACAGTGGCAAGAATGAGAAATATATTATTATTATTATTATTATTATTATTATTATTATTTCCATTTATTATTTTATTAGATTCACCTTTACTCCAAAGTAAACCCTATGGGTGGCAATGGGAATTTATTCCGGGGGGGGGGGGGGAGAAAAAGTGGAAAGAATGAGATATTATTATTATTATTATTATTATTACATTATTTCCCTCTAAGCTTAGATCCACCTCTACTCCAAAGTAAAACCCTATGGATTGCAATGGGAATTTACTCCCAGGGAGGGAAAAAAACAGTGGCAAGAATGAGAAATATATTATTATTATTATTATTATTATTATTATTAATTTTAAATCATTATTATTTCCCTCTAAATCTAGATTCACCTCTACTCCAAAGTAAAACCCTATGAATTGCAATGGGAATTAATTCCAAGGGAGGAAGACACATTGGAAAGAATGAGAACTATATTATTATTATTATTATTTAATGTTATTATTTATAATTCTAAATTATTATTTGTTTCCCTCTAATCTTAGATCCACCTCTACTCCAAAGTAAACCCTATGGATTACAATGGGAATTTAGCCCCAAGGTCAAAAACACATTGGCAAGAATGAGAAATATATTATTATTATTATTATTTCAGTATTATTTCTCTCTAAGCCTAGATCCACCTCTACTCCAAAGTAAACCCTATTGATTGCAATGGGAATTTACTCCCAGGGGAAAATACAGTGGAAAGAATGAGAAATATATTATTATTATTATTATTATTATTATTATTATTATTATTAATAGTTTTAAATCATTATTTCCCTTTTAGCCTAGATCCACCTCTACTCCAGAGTAAAACTCTATGGATTGCAACAGGGAAGAAAAAAAACATTGGCAAGAATTAGAATATTATTATTATTATTATTTCCCTCTAAGCCTAAATCCACCTCTACTCCAGAGTAAAACTCTATGGATTGCAATGGGAATTTACTCCCAGGGGTGGTAAAAACAATTGCAAGAATGAGAAATATATTATTATTATTATTATTATTATTATTGGTATTATTATTAATATTTCATTATTATTTCCCTCTAAGCCTAAATCCACCCTTACTCCAAAGTAAACCCCATGGATTGCAATGTGAATTGATTCCAAGA